GTGAGAGGGCTACCACCGGGGGGGGGGGGGACAGCAGGGAGAGAAAGACAAAAATGAGCCCAGAAGTGAGGAGAGAAAACAAAAAACAAAAATAAAACAAAAGCCCGTCAGTGACAATCCACACCGTCAGAGCCCCGCAGCCTCAGGCCAGTGGGACGCCACCCTCTCAGCAGCCCTAAGGGGCCCTGCCTGGTGGGCAGACCAGAGCCAGGCCCGAGGGCCGCTCCTCGACCTGCCAGGCAGAGAAACAGACGCTCAAGGTCACTTGGGCAGCGTCCTCCACGTCACTGGGCCTGAAGGTCCCTCCAGCTCCCTGAGGTCGGCCTGACTCACTTCCTGCCAGAAGGTCCTGCCCTCCCCAACCTCCATGTGTGCGGCATGTGCATGCTGCACCCCGCCAGGACCCCGGGGGCCTTGCTGGGACATACTGCCAGCCACCAAGGCCCTGAAGGCCCTGAGGCTCAGAAAAGAAATTTTTGAGGAGCCCATTCCTAATGGATACCTCTCTGCTCAGGAAAGAAAAATATGTCATTTATTGGACTTCCCTGGGTTGTCCCAAAGAGAAATTTACCAAATTGATATATGATGTGGTCACTTCCTAGGTATCAAAGATCCAATCGGTGGCCCCTCCTGAATGGTTCTCTCTGTGGGGGCTGATTCCCAGGGTGGCACGGAGGTGAGCAAGGCTCAGCCCACCAGGGCTAACATCCTCCACACCCCACATTCCGGAAATCGTTAAAGGTGACGCAAACACTCATGGGTTCAAATTCTGGGAGATCCACCTCTCCCACCTCACCAGGACTCCCCAACTCCGGACACACAGAGCCCTTCACTAGTCTCAATGGGCCCTCAGAATCTGGCCATGGCCACACGCACCCAGAGGCAGCTGGAACCCTGAGGCTGGGACAGCCTGGGACATGGGCGACGACAGCTGAGTTGGCAAAGCTGTCCACTCCCACCCCACCGTCTGCCCTCCCCGCCTGCAGTGACAAGGCCTGCTAAAGCAGTCCCCTTCAGCCAAGCACAGCTCAGAGCCAGCCCTGGCACACGTCCTGCCCGGTGAGGGCCACGCCTCCCACTGGGTACCATGCTGCACGCAGGAGAGGTCAGCATGCGTGTGCCAGGCCTTGAGGAGACAGGCGCAGCCAGAGACGCAGAGCAAGGGCAGGAAGGAGCACAGCAAGGAGGGGTCTGCCCTTCAAGGCCTTCCTCTGGGCCAGACCCTGGGCTCAGCCGCAGCTCAGTGGGAATCGGGGAGCCCATGGTTCCCTGCTGGGGACCTGCCCAGTCTACAGGAACCCCGGGCAGGCCCCACAGTAGCCTGCAGGAGTGTGCGGACCTCAGTGACCAACTGCCTTTCCAGAAGCCCTCCTCAGTAAGCTGGGGTGGAGAAGAGGCCCGGGCTCTATGGAGCAGGCATCCACTCTGGACCCAGGCTAGGCATGGAAGCACCGCGGGACCTCTCAGAGCTGCACTTCCTGCATCTCTAACGTCAGGAAACAGTGACTCCAAGGCTAGGATTCTACATGGCACAGCAGAGGCCTGGGTAGATAGTAAGGAGCCTCGGAAGAAGGAGACCTCCCCAGCTTGCTTTCTCCACTTCCCACACACCAGGTTTACTAAGGTTTTGTCGTCAGCCTCAGTAGGAGGCAAAAAAAAAAAAACCCCAAACAAACAACAAAAAACCACAAACCCTCTCCCAGTGCCTGGTGGGGGTTTCCCGGTTGTCCCCCCACTACCAGCCATTCTGAGCAGCTCTCACGTGCCCTCTGGTCTGGCCAAGAGGAAGCAAACGTGGGGAAGAAGGGGAAGGCCCCCCTGCCCAAGCACGTCCAGCCCACCACTCCTCCCAGGTGACAGACAGCCTAGAGGACCTTTGTGACTGGCAGATCTGCTAAAGATTACAGCGAGTGTGCCCGCACTAGCTCAGAAGACAGAAGGAACAGCCAGGAAGGCGATGCAGCAAAGCAGCCTCTGCCTCTGCAAGACCAAGCCACATGCACAGGGGCTGAGTGAGCCCCCCAGGACCCAAGGGGGAAGCCCGGCCCCCTGACCACCGTGCACTAGCCAGGAACATGCAAGTCCACTCTGGAAGCAGGAATGGCAGCGCAGGTCCTCAGTGACACGAGAGGCCCAAGAAGGAGTCCTGGCTTTCCCTCCGTCCCATGTGGTGCCAAGGACAGAGATTTGGGGTACTCTGCACTGCACTTTAAGAGAGCAGCAGTTGGGGGTGCTCCCCAAACCGGTACTCAGCAGAGAGCAGGGAAGCAGAGCTGGTTGCCGAGACTCTGCAGCGGGAAAAGAACTGCTCCATGCTGGAATCACAGAGGGAAGGTCACAGGCCACCCATACAAATTTCAGGCCCAGAGAGTCTTAATTCTTAAGGAATCTCTCAAGCATTCTGTCTGGTGTCGACAAAAGCAACATCTAAGAGGCGGCCCAGAAGCGCACAGAAGCTGCGGATGGCGCAGTCGGTCCCAGGCCGAGGCTGCCCCAGCAGGGCCCCGGTTCGTGTGTTTCAGGCTGTTTCATGGAGTGTGAACCTAGGTGCCCGCCCTGCCTCTTATTAAGCGGACAGAGCCGTTCTACCCTGACGAGTCCACAGGGTAGCCGGCCCTGAGCATGGCGACCCAGGGAAGGTTTCGGGGACACAGCTGCCTCCACGCCTCTGCGAATGAGCATGGTGCCCAGTGAGGGAAGGGAAGGGAAGGAGGAGACAGGCCGGGCCGCGTGCAGGAAGGCATCAGACCCCGCCGGCTGCATAGATGGCTGCCTGCCGCTGCTCGGGGGGAGGGTGCGGGGGTGGGCAGCGTGGGCACCAAGGGGAGCGAGGGCTGCCGGGTGCCACCTCAGCAGGAAAAGCAGGAGGCACTGTGACAGTAGAGGGGACAGACCTGGCTGTGACTCCCAGAGGCATCCGCAACTCTCCTGCCCCCCCATAATGCCACAACCTCATCCATTCCGGCTGCCAGGGAGGGGGCTCTGGAAGTAGCAAGAGGAGGACCCCAGAGAGGATAGGCCTCCAGCCCTCACCACGGAAGCCCACCACAGAACCAAACCCACCTGCTGCCCAGCACTGGAGTAAGGGGTGGTGGTGAGTTTCTGCTTCCCACCATCTAGCCCTTGAAAACTAGCTGAGATTAAGGACAAGAAGTAGCAGGTGGACCAGGCACACCAAGGCCAGAGCAGACAGGGACGAAAAACTTCGGCAACATACCTTGGCGTGAGGGGACTGCATTTTTTGGTACATCTCCAAGGAATAATGATGAAGCCACATTTCCACAAAAACCTGCAAGAGAGCATTGGGTGGTCAAATGATTTTCATCTAGGGTGTTGTGACATTCAAAGGGCAGTTCTTTTCAACAAACCGTGCTAGGAAAACTGGGTATCTGCATGCAAAAGAATGAACTTCCACCAGAAACAATAAATAACTCAAAATGGATCAGAGACCTACATGGAAGATCTAAAACTATAAAACTCGTAGAAGAAAGTGTGAGGACAAAGCTTTATGACATTGGATTTGGCCACGATTTCTTAACTAAGACTCTAAAAGCACAGGCAACAAAAGAAAAGAGATAAATCGGAATTCGTGAAAATTTAAAAAATTTTGCACATAGAAGTCACTATCCAGAGTGAAAAAGGCCACCCACAGTATGGGGGAAAGTATTTACAAATTATGTATGTGAGGAGGAATGGATATCCAGAATATATAGACAACTCCTACAACCAACCCAAACACAAATAAATAAAGCCACTCAGCGGCACCTGGGTGGCTCAGTCGTTAAGCGTCTGCCTTCGGCTCAGGTCATGATCTCAGGGTCCTGGGATCGAGCCCCACGTCGGGCTCCCTGCTCCGCGGGAAGCCTGCTTCTCCCTCTCCCACTCCCCCTGCTTGTGTTCCCGCTCTCACTGTATCTATCTCTGTCAAATGAATAAATAAAATCTTAAAAAAAAATAAAATAAAATAAAAAATAAAGCTACTCAATTCAAAAATGGGCAATGGACTTGAACAGATATTTCACCAGACGACATACAAATGGCCAATAAGGACACAAAAAGATGCTCAACATCACCAACCATGAGGGAAGTGCAAATCAAAACCACCGGGAGACGCCACCTCACATCCATTGGGGGGGCTCTAATCAAACCCAGAACATCATGGGCGTCGGCACGGCCATGCACCCCTGGTGGGAACGTTTGACGGTGCAACCGCCGAGGAACACAGCACGGTGCTTCCTCAGAGCATTAAGCAGAATTATCACGTGATCCAGCAGTTCCACTTCAGGGTATATACCCAAAAGAATTGAAATCAGAGTGTCTAAGAGATTTTTGTACATCCGTGTTCATAACAGAACTATTCACAATAGCTAAAACGTGCAAGCAACCCCAGTGGCCATCCACAGATGAATGGAAACACAGAAAGTAGTAGATCCATATGACAGAGTATTATTGAGCCTTAAAAAGAAAAGGAACTTGGCAACGTACTACCACATGGATGAACCTTGACGGCGCTCTGCTACATGAAACAAGTCAGTCGTAAAAAGCGCTAATTACCACGTGATTCTGCTTCTATGAGAACCTACAGTAGTCAAAATCATAGACACAGAAAGCAGAATGGAGGGGGCCAGGGGCTGGGAGGAGGGGGTATGGGAAACGTCTGTCTAATGGGTGCAGTTTCAGTTTTACAAGATGAGGAAGTTCTGGAAATTCCTTTCCCAGCAATATGAATATATGTAATTCTACTGAACTGCATACTTTGATGGTAAATTTTATGCCATGTGTATTTTACCGCAATTCAAAGAAATTTTTTCTTCAATAATTAAAAAAAAGAGAGAGAGAGCGTTAGCGTTCTGGTCCAGAGAACAACCCTCCAGCATTTCTGCCCCATAAGCCCGTGTCCTGGCCACCAGCCCTCCTCATGGGCTGGCATAGCCCAGAATCCACATTAGCTGGGGGCATCTGAAGCACCAGGGCCCCTCTGCAAACAGGAAGGCTGAGTCCAGCCATCCAATCTCCCGGTGCGGTCTCAACGATGACATACCTGGAGGCCGCTGAAAGTGCAGCAGCCCATACACCAAGAGTTATGTACGAGGCAGGAGGGACAGAACCCCATCTTATCCATGCGTCAGGCTGTCAGTAAGTGATACTCGCGGCTCCCAACTCCGCCCCAGCGTTGAGAACCAGCTGAACCTCTCCAAGGTGTACTTGAAGAGACAGCCTGGCCTGGGAGGGAGCCAGCCCAAGCCTGCGTGAGAGGATGGAGCCTGCACGAGTGCAGACAAGGGGCCCTACCACCTCCCATGTGGATCCCCCAACCCGGAAGGGATAGGGGCTGCCGGCCAAGCAAGGTCAGAGGCTTTGCAAGCCTTTTCTGGCCAGTGTTATAAAAACACTACTGGGGCAGGGGCTTAATATCCACCCAAATGAGGGGGATCACAGGAAACCTTTCCAGCATTGTGGGAGCAGGTCGGAGACGTGCAGTGTGGGGCAAGCCTGCATGCACACGGATCCAATGGAAACTGAGCAGCGCTCATACCACGAGTGACAAAACTCCACAGACAGTGAATCCTGGGATGAACAGCACTGCCAGTGACATCCATGTTCGAGAGGTGGGCACGTCACAGCAGGAAAACACCAACAATTTAGAAGCACTCTCAGGCTGAGGGCAGTGTCTAGGCCTCTGCCCCCTGGGGCAGAAGGTGGTCGGACAGTTTATTTTGAAACAGAAGACGAGAAGGGCTTCCTCACTCTCACCTGGAGTAGAGTTTCAGACCTCCAGATCTCATGGGAGGCAGGGTCTGCGTTCACAGACGTCTGATGAGAGATGTGTCGCTTCAGGAGGCTGGTGTGGTGGAGGCCATAGGAAGCGAAGGGCATGGCTGGCGTCCTGAGGGACACACAGAAACAGGTCTTCGTTAGGGGGTCCTGACGGCACAACCAGGGGCAACCTGAACATGAACATCGGTGGCAACTGTAGCCATTACCACCTGCTGAATCACAGGACGGCCCCCAAATCCACTTCCCTACCGCAGAGCATGCACTGGTCAATGTAAGGGATGAAAGCAAACAACCACCCTTAGGCAACCATCCTATTAATAACTGATCTGGCTGGCAATAATCAAGGGACACTAACACCGCTGATAATTACATAGTCTCAACGTATCTTCCCAACAAATCCCTCTTGCTAATTAACTTGGCACAAAGTACCCATTTAATTTTACAGTAGGAAAACCTAGCCAACACCCCCCTGGCCCAGTGATCAAGACAATGTCACCAGCACACAGACTCCACGGCCGCTGGGCCTAATCGCTAGGAAACACCAGAGAACTCAAGATAAGGGCATTCTGCACACCCCCGGGCTGCACCAGTTAAAGGCGTCAAGGTCAGGAAAGATGGGAAGACGGAAGGACTGTTCCGCACTGAAGGGGGACCAGAGGCAACCACACGCAGCGAGTGAGCCTGCGCTGGACCCCAGCCGGGTAGCAGACGTTAGTGGGGTAGCCAGGGCAGCCCGAGTGGGGTCTGAGGATGAGACGGCAGCCTGGCAGCGATACGGATTTCCTGATTCAGATAAAAGCGCAGTGGCTGTGCAGGAGAATGCACTTGCTTTTAGGAAATACACTCCAAAATAGCAGGCGTTGTGTCTATAACCTACTCAAATGGCCTAGAAAAAACACATACAGATAAACAGAATAAAACAATTCAGAAATGTAGGTGAAGGACCTATGAAAGTTTTTTGTTATTCATGGTAAGTTTTAAGTCTGAAATTCTAGGTTAAAATAAGCCAACACAACTGGGCCCAGCAAACAGCTTGGCAGCTGAAACCTGCCTCTGACAGGGCGTGAAGCTGGCCAGCCCAGGGCACCTCTCGGCCGTAGCATTACCAACGCCTGCGCAGCCTCTCCCCACTTCCACGCCCCCACCTCCTCCTTTCAATGCCCTTTCCTCGGGGGCCTTCCTGTGCCGGCAGGAAAGACCCCACCTCCCAGGGAAGAAGGTGCACCAGCAAGGTTGAGGAGGGTGAGGAACATGGGTGGCAGCTCCCGGGTCACGAGTGTCTCTGGGGAGAAGCGGCCAATCGGCCCCTGGCTAAAGGCCTCTGAAGGCCTCAGTTCACCCTCAGGCTGAGGCTGGCTGCACACTCCCTTCCTGCACGGTCCAGCCACAGCCCAGCCTGTTTGGATTGGCACAAGAGGCTCTTTACCCCAAGACCTCTGGCGCAGGCCAAGACCTGGTCTGGAAGCCTACACGGATTCCTCCTGCTCTTATTCCTCCCCACATCAGCCCTGCTGTGGCCTGCCTACAGGCCCTTTCCCTCCAGCACCACCTGCCCAGTGCCACCGATCAGCTCTGGTAACGTTGCTCTGAAACCCCCGCCACCGCTTCGGTGTGGGGCTTGGATGCCACACGTAGGGAGGGCTGCTATGGGCAGCACACAGCCGACTCCCAAACCAAAGTCAGGCCTTGTCCATGGGGCCACAGGACCTGCTCACTGCAAACCCAGGCACAGACATCCTCCTCACCCCTGCCCTCCGGTCTGTGCCAGGGAAGCTGGGGTTGGGGGATCTCAGGCCTAAGAAACGTTGGGGCACCCTGGACAAAGAGTGGCACTACTGTCCCTGTGAGCAATGCCCACTGCCCAGGCCACTCCCCTGTGGAAGCGCCAGACTTTACAGGCTAGCCGCAGGGATGGGCCATCCCAGGCCAAGAGCCAGCGCAGCCAGAGAGCCTTACCTGGGAGCTGGTGAGGGGCTGGGCCCCCCAGGACTGGAGGAGAGCGGGGGGAGCACACTGCCTTCTATGGGCAGGAACCATGACAGGTACCTGTCCACGAGGGTGAAATAGGCACAGTCTGAAGTTCGTATGTGGAGAGCCCCAGGAAGTGGCTGGAAAAGCAAATCTGCATTGGTATGTGGCTCTGGGTGCCGTCCCCTGGCTGTGGACCCCAGCAGCCTCAGGGCTCAAATCAACGCACACGAGCCCTGGGACATGGGCCACATCCCAGGGGCCCGACCACAAGCACCCTGGGCAGTACCGGGAAACAAGTTCCCACCACCGGGGGCCTGACTAGACCCCAGAGTCCTTTTCAGCATGCAACCACTTCCCACAGGAAGCCCCCCAACTACCACTCGGGGTGCCCAGGTCAAGTGTGCCCACCGGCCTGTCATCCTGAGTGAGGATGGCCTGAGCAGCAAAGGCTGGAGGAGGATGCAGAGGACGAGCCGGAGAAATTCCCAGAGGTGGGAAAGGAAAAGACGTGGACGATAAAGAAAGTCCTAGGCCACAGCCCCCACCCTCCACGGGGGCTTTGGTAAAAAGCTGCTCAGGGGCACCCCTCTTGTACCTTTTGAGTGATGAGGCTCAAAGCAAAGAAGAACATGTAGTACTCGAACGGATCTGATGGCAGCGTCAGGGGGCAAACGGGCAGGGCTACTGGGCCACCCCCAGCACTGTGTCCCGGCCCCCCATGGCCTCCCCAGCCCTCCAGGGCTGACAAAGGATACTGAGGGCCAAGTTCAGGCCGAGGCCCCCCATTGGGGGGAACTGGACCTTGTTGTGGTACAGAGGGCTGTCGGGGAGCACACGCTCCTGGATGGACGCCTTCACAGGGCCCTGCAGAGACAGGGAGTTGGGTTTGTGGGCAGGCTCTGCAGGGTGCCCCCGTGCGGGGCAGCCTTTGGGAAGGGCCGCTGCGGAGGCGACCAGCACATGGGCCCTGCCTGGGGGAGCACTGCTGTCCTCTGGGTAGCGCTGGAGCAAGAGGGCCTCCACTCAGAATCGCTCACAGTATCCTCAGGAAGACCCCCAAACAGCAAGGGCAGCAGCTGTGTGTTTCTGAGCCTCATCAAGGGCTTCAGGTTCCCCATCTTCTTTGCTTCCAATATCCACCAAGCAAGTCACCCCTCAATTTACCACTGCAGGACTGGAAACTCAGAAAAACAGAGCAACTGGTCACACAGCCCTGCCTGCCACTCAGCCAGGAACAAACCAGGTCGCGTGGTGCCTTCTCCATGAGCAGAGTTGGGAATGATGCCTCCTGGACCCTGAGCAGACACCATGGCGCGTTCTCTTGCCCACAGCTGCAGCCCCCCAAGCCCTGCCCAGCACCCATCACCGCAGCCGCTGTGCAGGGCGCTCTGCCCTGAGCACGACGCTCACCCCACGGCTTACTTACGGGCAGGTAGGAGACAGGAAAGTCAAACTTATAATCTTCGGCCTGAAGCTTATAAACCAACTTCATCATTGGGCCACTGAACATGAAATTAAACCAACAAAAACAAGGCAATGAACTGTAAACCATCTTGCTTTGATTGTTTCTTAACTTTGAGAAATATAGTGCTTTAAGAATGGGATCACCATGAGGAAACATCCAGCCCCTCTCAGGTGACAAACCTACCTACCCAGGGTCTAGAAATTCCATCGCAATGCTGTATTCCACAGGACTCATGCGTCCCTGTAAGTAGCGGAGGTTCCAGCCAACAAGGACACCGTCCAGACTGCCAAAAATGCTCTCCACCAGCCATGGGAAGATGGCGTGCAGCTCCTGAAATGGTGTGCGGGGGAGGCTTTGACTAGTGCGCACTGCTGGGCTGTGTGCCACGGGGGCCTCCTGCCCAGTCCAGCACTACACCCTTGTCCACCTCCTTCACTGAGTGTGTACACATGAACTGGAAATTTTCAGGGTGAGAATCTTTGTCCAGGCTGGCTTCCTGGGCTTACACTTACTACTTGATAATTTTGGGTATGGCTTAAATAAAATATATATTTTCAGTGTGAAAACCAGGGTTTCTCAATCTTTTGGGCTGGACACTTCTTTGTTGGGGTGGATTGTCCTGTGCAATTTGGGAAAGTTACCAGCATCACTGGCCTCTACCCACTCGATACTTGTAACACCCTCCCCTGTGTGACAGCCAAAAATGTCTCTAGACATTGCCAAGTGTCCCATGCAGGACAGAAGCACCTGTGGCTGAGAACCCCTGGTCTACATGTTGACATGTTTAAATGTGTCCATAAATGTGTCCAATACTGGGTCAGGCCTCTGTGCAGGGCAGTGCTCAGAGTTGGGAATCAGGGGCTATAAGAATGTTTTTCAAAGAGTATATGAAACATGCCCTAAAGAGATGCGAGCAGAACCGTACCTTTGCTGGAAAATCCTCGATGACTTTAACCAAGTCTTGGCACCGCTGTGCAAAGGGCTTATTTACAGAGTCAGCTTTCAGGCTAGCCTAGAAGATAGAACAAACAAACAAAAAAATCATGTGCATATTCACTTGGCAGCTTTTGCTCTTATTCTGGCTCAAATCAAAACAGAAACCCAAGTGATAGGCAGGAGTCAGACACACCATGGGCATGGCTCCCCAGCATCTTGTGCATCAGGTCATGCATGTGTCAGTGGCCTAAAGGATGCAACTAGGAGAGGCGGGGGTCCTTTGCTCCCCAGACAGCCAACTCTCAGGCTTCTTCCCTGCACCCTCTGTCAGGCATCCCCAGTTACAGCAGGGTACTACACATTTTCACGACAGAAGTGACTTCCACCCAATCCAGAGCAGGGGGTCAGCTCCAGGGTCAGCCCTGCAGCCAGAAGAGGACCCTTATTGTGTAGGGCACCCCTCACAGACCACAGAGTACTCCCTGAGTGTATACACATGAACTGGAAATTTCCCTGTGATGACCACCCGTGATGACACCACTGTGATCATCAGTGAGGATGCCCAACAAAACAAGGGAGACAGCAGAAGCCCTCTTAACCAAGCTATCCCCTGTTCAGCAGGTAACAAGCCAAATGAATTCATTACCTTAAGAAACAAGGCAGGCTAGAAATGACAGATGGCTTTTTTTTTTTTTTAAAGATTTTATTTATTTATTTGAGAGAGAGAGAGAGACAGAGAGCATGAGAAGGGAGAGGGTCAGAGGGAGAAGCAGACTCCCTGCTGAGCGGGGAGCCCGATGCAGGACTCGATCCCGGGACTCCAGGATCATGACCTGAGCCGAAGGCAGTGGCTTAACCAACTGAGCCACCCAGGCGCCCATGACAGATGGCTTTAACCAAACATCGACACTAATCGTGAAGGCGATGGATAGGCCAGGAAACATTCAAGACAAGAATGAAGGAAATCTACCCAAGGTCGTGGGGTGTGGATTAAGATCAGGAGAAAATGCCAGAATTTGAACCAATATGGCTTTGCCCAAGGCTATCTAAGGCCTCAGCCACCTCCAAATGAGCGTGGTGTCTCAATCAGAGATAAAGATCTGGGCCGTTGCAGCCACACACTGTGGGAAGGTTCCCCGCACACCTGGCCTCTATGCACTGAATGCCAATAGCACCGCATGTGTTGGCTCTAGAAGGGGCACCAAGGAAGGATGTCCTTCTGAATAAACGTTTACAGAAAGTATCTTCTGGGAACTGAAATAAGGAATCCTCACACCATGGCTATCTGCCTCACATGTAACTTCCCGGCGTCATGTTTAATACTGAGAGTGCAGTCCCGCCATTTTCCAATGATACAGTTACGATTATTAGAATACCCCAGGAAGTGTATAAAGTATACAAGATGTGAAAATTCTGATGTATATCCTTTCACAAGTAGTGAAAATGGATTTCAATCAACTTACCTTGTAGGTGAGAAACTCATCTTGTAGATGAGAAAACCAGGGCTCAGGGGTTCGAGTAAACCCAACATCCTACACTGGAAGGGGCCAGGGTCAAGTCTAAGGATTCTAACCCCCAGGCCAACTTCCTTCACATCCCCTCAAAAAAACCCCAGCAGAAAGTTCAGGTCAGGGGAAAGAACTCGCAAGTCCCTGAGCTGTAGAGCAATCATCATGCTCACATTCCCAAAGGCAGCTGGTACTTACCAGCAGAAAGCTGGGCTGCTGCAGGTGAGGGAACGCCATAGCAGCCTCCTGGGGGCCGCTGACAACGGCCGTCTTAGGAAACCACTGTGAGAAAACAAAGGCGACATCTCAACATCTGCCACACAACAGATTATATTGCCTTACAATGCCCAGGGGAGTATCTGTATAACTCAATACACTCTGCACTGCCAAATTCCACGTTTTATAGAAATGCCAGGCTGATGCAGTCCACAATGGCCAGCTTCAGAGCCAAGTGTGCAGTGGCGAATCCTTGGTAACGCTTGTACAGCACTTGCTAGGTGCCTAGAAGGGTGCCTTAGAAGCTAGCCTGCTTCTAAGGACCCTCCGTATACTTCCTCGTTTAATCCTCAGGGGTAGGCAGAATTTTAAAGATAGCCCTCCAAGATTCCTATCCTTGGGTATTCAATCAAACGCTCATCTAGGTATTATGAAGGAATTTTGCAGATATGACTGATGTCTCAAGGGGGCGGACCATAAGATAAGAGCAGTTGCAGCTGCCAGCCAGTAAGGAAACAGGGACCTTAGTTCTACAACCCGAAGGATTCTGCCAGCAACTTGAATAAACTTGGAAAAAGATTCTTTCCGAGGGCTTCTAGGTAAGAACAAAGCCAACCAACACCTTGATTTCAGTCTTGTGATATCCTAAGCAGAGAACCCAGTGGAGCCTGCTAGACTTTTGGACTATGTAACTCTGAAATAATAAGTGGATGTAGTTTTAAGCTGCTAAGTTTGTTAAGGAAGAATAGAAAACGTATATCCTCACAACAACCCTGTGAGGTCAATACAGATAAAAAGAAGTGGAAGCAGAGAGGAGATAATCACTTGCCCTCACTTAGCTGGTAAATGGCAGAGCCAAGATTCTAATACACAGACCTCCGAACACATCTTCCAGAGAGACAGGTATGTCACCTGTGCTCTATGAGAATGAATGGAATGAATGGAGGGGATGAGCAAGCTCAGCTGAGAGAGCTTTTGAACAAGCCATCAGAAAATCAGGAGCAACTCTCTAGATTCCTATCTCTCTGTCCACCCAGGTCAGAAACTGAAACTAGCCAGATGTGGACTGAACAGAAAGGGAGCCTGCCTAGTCCCACTGACGATGGCCTTCCTGGCACAGCTCTGCCCATAGCATGGGTAAGAGTGTTGAGGTGGCAAACAAAAGTGTATGTGGATGAGGAAAGACTAGGCGCAAGGAAGCTGTGAGGCAGTGGAGGAGTTGAGAGGAGATGTGAATCTCTGCCTCTTGACAATAGAAACACCTCCAGGGTTTTTTCAATTCTCTGCATGACACTGGCTATCAAACTCAGTTTTAAGGAAGACCTCAAAGGCCTCAGTCCTGAACCAAGAGAACACTGATTAAAATGACCAAAGCAAAATAATCAAAGCAGCATAAAATCCTGGCCTGTTTGCAAAGGGCAAAGCTTTGGAGATGATGAGGTGGAAGTACCTCCTTGTTCAGAGGAAGCCTGCCCTGGCATCAGCTCAAGGACTGAGGCCCAGAGGTGCCAAACCGAGGAGTCTTTCCGAGAGAGGGCAGTGTCTCCTAACGCCCTGTTCTCTAACCCTACCCCAGCCAGGCTCCTCCATCACACCTTTCTCCACTGTGTTCCCTTCATCCGCCACTTTACAGCCACTTTCTTCAGTGGCTGCTTCGGATCTTGTTTTTGAGGTTTCTTCTCAGTGGCAACGCCAATCACGCCAAGCAAATCACACTACTGCCAAGGCCTCCCTCTGGCTGCGCTCTGAGAAGCAGAGGATGCTCCTATTTGCTGCTCACAACTGCCCTGTGAAGTGAGCATCGGGATCTCCATATTACAGATGAAGAAACTGAGGCTCAGGAAGGTCGGCCCACACAGGGAACAAGAGCCGGGTGAGAATCCACACCCGGCTCTTCCTCCCACACAGCCTGTTGAGCCCAAGGCTCAACTTCAACTCGAATCTCTCCTTCCGCCAACTCGTTCAACGAACGTAAACCGGGCACCCACCAGGACGGGGTGTGCGAGATGCGCGAGAAGGTGGCATGAGGGCGCAGCCCAGGAAGATGGCAATGAGGGCGCAGCCGGGGCCTTGGTTTCCCAGCCGGCCGGCCAGACAAGGGACACAGACACCAACGTCCGGCTCGAGGCCTGCGGCTCGTGCAGGAACGGAGATGGCTTCGGCGGAGGTTCGGGGGGACATGAGACCGTCCCGCACGCGGCTCCCACCACTCACCTGTGGGACCCATGAAGTCACTCGCCTAAGGGACGAAGACCGCCATTCGGCTACCCGGCACCGAAATGTCGTCATCAAGCTGCGCCTGGCGTCACGCCTCCCCTGGCCTGGCGGGAAACACACCACCAACTCGGTCGGCAGTTATCTCAAAAGGCGCGTGCGCAAAGTGAAGGCCGGCCGGGTTTATGGGTTACATCTCTGACAGCGCATGCGCAGTGGGGGCAGCAGCGTCCCTTAACCCTGAGTTCTTGGATTGTAGGAGCTGTAAGAAGAGCGCGTGCCCGTAAAGAGAAGCTGTTTATTAGGGTCCTGGAGGCGCGCCCCCTAATGGGGAACGGGCGCAGAATAATTGTACGCTGCAATGACTGATCTTTTTTTTTTTTTTTTTTAAAGATTTAATTTATTTATTCATGAGAGACAGAGAGAGAGAGAGAGAGGCAGAGGGAGAAGCAGGCTCCCAAGGAGCAGGGAGCCCGATGCGGGACTCGAT